TGTACCTTGCAAAAAGTCAGAGCAAGGTAAATGGAATAGTTATGGCCACTCTAAAGGTAAAGATATCATAAGTTACTAAAATAGAGGTATGTGTGTGTGTGTTTGCATACAGAACATTATAAATGAATAAATATTTAATGGACCACTTGTGAATATAACAAATCTAATTTTGAATTTATGGAAAGGCTTTTTTACTAGACTATGCACAGTTGCCACAACAAAGTCCAGTGAACGTGGAACCTATGGCTTGTCAGATTATCTTTTTTCACTGGGCAGGATGGAGACCCCAACCCACTAAGTGAGTGTGTGAGCATTCATTATAGGTTAGCCATGAGTCCAGGTCTCATTCAACAAGGAGCAAAACTGTTATGATTCTTAGCTACATGACCATGCATGCACTGTTCATCAGTCAGGCAGAATGCTTAGTCACCACAGGGCTTTACATCTTATGTAATCCATGGGCTGCATGTGTGGTGTAGCTACATAAGCCCATATGCAAGTGTTGGGGGGGGGGTATCCTATAAAAGCAGATTTCACTTGTCCCCACTCTCCTTCCACACTGTTCGTTTCTAGTAGGCCCATTGAACAATCTCTTTTCCCTCTCCTAATAAAAACTCTTATAGTGGGTTCCGTTGTACCTCCTGTTCTCTCCCGCCCGGTAAATAGCACTGCAGATAAACAACAGAAACATTCTAGGTCAAAAGGACTGAATTTAAACACCAGACTCCAGATTTGCCACTCTGGAGTTGTAGAATAATGTATCAGGTACTATTTTGGAAATCATGTTTTTTACTTACAAATTTCACACCTTTTAGAAAATATCAAATTGAACAGTTGTTTAATCATTTAGTATTATACATAGCTCACAGTGATTAATGAATAAACATTCCCTTAGTTTTCCAGAAGTCTTGTGATAATCAGAACTTTGTCCAAAGCCCTCAAACCCAGCACTTGCCTTTCTCTTCCTGCTTCTAATTTCCCTAAATGTCACCTGGATCCACCTCTCTGGAGAGAGTGTCCAAGTAGTGGGGAAAGAGGATTATTATCCTGAACATCTGGAGTAGCACATGTGGTAAGTGCACTCAGGCTTGCCCTCACAACTTTCAGGTTACACAGAAAGGACTTCAGGGTGGCTTGAAATCACTGCTCTAGTTTTGATCTGTAATTGCCCCCCCCCCCCCCCCCCCAGGGACCCAGATGCTGAAGTCCTCTGCTTAGCACTACCAGGAGACTGCAGAACCTTTAAGAGGTGGGCCTAGTGGAGGGTCGGGGGTCATTGGGAGTTGGCCTCAAAGGAGATTGCAGGGCTGTGATTGTTCTCTCTTTCATTTTCCCTTTCTGCCATAAGGTGAACAGGTTACCATGGCCATGTACATCATCCGGGATGTGCAAGCAGCCTGAAAATTCAGTTAGAAAGTCTTGTAGGAAGTAGGGTAATAACTGGCCATGAACAGAGTTTTTCGAAGCTGTAAGTCAAAGTAAATTTTTTCTTTAAGTTAATTATTTCAGGTATTTTGTTACAGTATCAGGAACCTAACAGTTATTTTTTGCATTAGTGTTTCTCTCCAATTAGCACAGTGCCCACTATGCGATGCCAGAGACCCGAAGTGGGTGGTCTCCCTTCTGTCCCATACCCCAAACACGGAAAAAAAAATTTTAAAGTAGGTTTTAATTGTTGGTTTTGCTCTAATGGGTAAGAAACTCTTTAAAGGCAACAAATACGTACATGAATTCATTCACTGGGGGTCATCTTGAAAATACTAGTTACCTCTCAATAAGTACCATGACTAGATTATGCATTTCATAATAATTGCTTGTTGGGTGTATGTGTTTTTCAACCTAATATATCCCTAATCCCCAATATCCTGAGCCTCAATGAGTATTTATGATTTTATGCAGCTCTGATAAAGATGATGGTAGCAACAGACACAGCCTCGCTTGCTCTCTCTGGGCCTCCCACATTGAGACGGGTGAGTTCTGAGTGAAAGCAACATGAAGGAAATGAGAAAGCATCACATTTTCGTTCAGAGCAAACTGAGTAAGAAGAGTGGCGTGTTTGCTTGGCTGCGAAGGAAGACAGTCTCCTTAAAAAGCAACCCTCTGCCAAGTTTTTGGCTTCTGTTTGTTGTTGTTTTAAAGGTAAACACAATTAAGAGAGAAAATAGCAAGTCTTTAAAAGCACAGCTGAGTGTTTATGTTTTCCTTCTGAAGCTTCTGGGCTTGTTTCTGTGGCTCTTATTTACCATCGAACATCACAACTGCTCAACACCCCCAGATAACTTTGCTGCGGCGTTCAGCCACGGATGGGAGAAAAAACCTTTTCTTCACAATGTCCACCTTTTCAAGGCTCCTTTGTAATTCTTTCAAGTTTGAATGCCAATGTTACAGTGTTCTCTCCTGTTTCTGAGAAGACAGTTTTGTGCCCTGAAACCTCCCTGTTATCACATCTTCCAGGGACTCAGGTTGCACTACCTGATGGCATCTTAGTGGCGTTACCCTCGATAAGCAGCTGTACTGACAACAGGACCTCCAAATGTGTTAATTTCTGTTTCAGCACATTCCCCTGTAGTCTCTATGGATTTGTTTTGCCAGAGAGACAAGCTTAAGTCTTGCCTGTATGTTAGCGATAGCTCCCCTGGTCACCTCTTAGTCCACTGCAAAGCTGCTAATTCATTGGATTCTTGTATTTCATACCTGTGTGGAGCCAAAGCTAAAACTAATTCCAACAAATTAAATTTCTAAATCAAAACTCACAGTGTATGACAACTCATTTGAACTTCTTGGCAATGTGACAGGAAAAGGAAAGTCCTGGTACAGAATTAACACAGTGGCCCAACTCTGCTGTAAATACCATTAATCACGTCACTTCTGGGAGCCCCCCATTTCATGGTCTCAGTGATCTACAGAGCACTCTTGCTGGCACATATTGCAGCTTGCATAAGGCCTCATTTCAGGCAAGTTTTTAAAGTTAAAACATAACCTTATGATTAGAAAACCCTTTGGGGCACCTGGAAGATTCTTTGGAGATACAATCTCTTAGTATTTCATAGTTTGAAACATTCAAGAAAGATGGGCTGGGCGGTAGTGGCACACACCTTTAATCCCAGCACTCAGGAGGCAGAGGCAGGCAGATCTCTGTGAGTTCGAGGCCAGCCTGGGCTACAGAGTGAGTTCCAGGAAATGTGCCAAAGCTACTCAGAAATAATAAAGTTTAAAATGGACCCAGGTGCTCTAAGAATATTCTGGACCTGTAACTGTCTGGTGTTCCACACTAGGTGAACATCCACTGAGAACAAACTGGCTGTACTCAGAGTCATGGCTGTGGAGGAATGTGGGGGTGCTTTCCCAGGTATATATACAATGTACATAACGTACATCAACTCACAAACATGTCAGGTACATGCTGTCCAATAGCAGAGCTAGTAATCCATATCCACTTCCCCATGACCACCTTTGCTGCCTCTCTGCCTTGCATTGTGTGCTTTGCTCTTGTTTCTGCCCAGATCAAAGTGCCTGGTGGATTTGTTCTGTGCAGATCACATTTCAAAGCATACCACTTAAAGTCCTTCTTAACATGGCGGAAATAATGGCTCCCACCAAGGCCCACATCCCCTTAATCCCTGGAGCCTAAGACTCCGATTTCCTCCTTGGCAAAAGGAACTTTTGTGAGGAGGCTAATCTTGAGATAAGATGATCATAGGGGTCACTGTGATCTTCAAAGTCCTGAGAGAGGAAGGAAGAGGGCAGGTCTCAGAGCGGAGATAGGATGGTGGTAAGCGGTGTCGACTGATGTGCTTTGAAGATGGAAGGTGAAGCCACTATCCAACAAATGCAAGTCTCTACAAGCTGGGGACACCAAGGGGCAGGCTCCCACCTAGAGCCCCAGGAGGAATGCCCTCTGCCAACGTCTCGTTTTAACCAGTAAGCCTTGTATTTAGACTTCTGAGCTACAGGAAATGGTGTGATAAATGTGTGTGTGAAGCAACCATGCTTCTATTGATTTCCTGCAGCAGCAGTGGGAAGGCAGCCCACCTTGCTCTCTGTCTCCTCTCATTTCCTGAAACACTGGGATAAGCTGTGCTTTGTCAGCAAGCATGCCTTGCAGCCCCTCAGCGTGCAGCTCCTGTGCAGCAGCCTGACACAATGCATGATTCCCCTCCACATGTCAGGGAACCTTCCTAAGACTATGTCAAAGGCCCTCTTGCTTGCAGACAATATTAATAAACAGCCCTCCTGCTATTACTTTGAACAAAGATTTAACTTTCCGGAACTATATTTATTTTTTACTTCCCCAAATTAACTTCTCCAGAGCTTATGTCATAGTAATGTCTTATTTTACTTATAATTCCTAGTATGATATCATATGCAAAATGTGGTAAAGACATTAAATGTGCATTTATCTGTCTGTTATTTGTAAACTAAGACACACGAATTAATGATGTAAGAACATTTACTACATGCTGCCTCTTCTCAGCAACTTCCCAAGATTAACAGTGCAGACTACTACTTTTTTTTTTTCTGAAGCAGCATTCTAGAATGACTGTATATGACTGTGATGAACAGTGGGAAACAAAGATATAGGTAAAAATATTATAAAGATAATAGGAAGTTAATAGCTGAACTAGAGAAAGCATTCCCCAGAGGCACATTTTCCAGAAAAACCACAACGCTTTAGTACAACTGTAACAATATAAAAATGGATTTAGCCTTTAAATTGTAGCACTTTTAATGAGACCTTTATGTGGCCTGTGTCCTCCAAGCTGTGTTCAGACACTCAGGACATTTCCCAATAAAGTGAGAGGAGAGACAATGATAGACATTCCCATTTTTTTTTTTTTTTTTTTTTTGGTTTTTTGAGACAGGGTTTCTCTGTGTAGCTTTGCGCCTTTTCCTGGAACTCACTTGGTAGCCCAGGCTGGCCTCGAACTCACAGAGATCCGCCTGGCTCTGCCTCCCGAGTGCTGGGATTAAAGGCGTGCGCCACCACCGCCCGGCGACATTCCCATTATTTTTAAATCCAAGAACCTTTCCAACATTGAGCTGAAATTAAAGATAACAACCTCTCCTAAAAGACTCCAAGAACACATGTTAGTTCCTGCCTGAAGAGGGGTTTGTATGCCATAAAGAAAGACACACAGACACACAGGTACACAGGCATGTACACACACACACATACTTGCATACACACACAAAAAATACATAAATTAATATGAGTTTAAAAAGAGCCAGAGTCTTAATAAACTACCAAGGTTTACATCCAAACTCCCTTTCTTCATGGTTAGATGAACTTTCCAGTCTCTCTGGACCCTGTCCTGGGGATAATAGAAATACCTACCTCACATTTCAGTTGGAAGACTGAAACGACCTAAAACATACAAAGTTATCAGTAGAATGCCTGGCATACTGAATCCTCCTGAAAGATAAGCTGTAATTCCTGTCATCTGTGGAGCTCATTTTAGGTTACTTACATAACCTTCTGGAGCACAAACCAACTGAACCTGTTTGAAGATAAATGGAGAAGGAGCAGCTCCTCCATGGGAAGAAAGGGCATGGAGAAGAGAATCACCCCCACAGGATTAAAGCTAATGTTTGAACAGTAGGCCTTGAGGTAAGCTCTATCAAATGTTATGACATGATTCCTAATTTCACCACTAGCATTGTGTGCATGTCCATGCTACTGTGGGAGTAACAAAGGGGAGGATAAAGCCCTCAACTTTTCTGGTAACTGGGTGGAAGCTAAGCCCCTTCTGTGGGGCACACCTCCAGTATCCTTGTCAGTTACCATAGGATGAGGAAGGAGATATGTATTCTAGGACTGTGAATGGATAATGTTTGCAGAAAGAGGGTTGTCACGTTTGAAGTCAAGAGCGGTGACTCTGGAGAGGAGAAAGGGCAAGCAATTGAAGGGGTCCAAAAGAACCTTGTGAGAGGCTGGCACTAATCCATGTCTTGTCCTGGGTGGTGGTTGCACATAATCTCTTTTGGCAATAATTCACTGACATTCACATTTGTAAGCTTACCATATCCACACTACCATGTTTACATAAAAGAGGCTTAGAAAAGTTCTCATTGGAAACCTCTAGCAAAGTATGGATTAATGCCTGTGTTATATACTGCTCTACTGCTGTGATAAGACACCATAATGAAGGCAATTTCTGTGATACACAGTGTATTTGAACTTACGGCTCCAGAGTGATTAGAATCTCCTGTGGTGGGGAAGGACAGAAGCAAGTGGCAGGCGTGGTGACGATAAGATGCTGAGGGCTCACGTCACCACAAGGAAGAAGCAGAGGGAGTGAACTAGATCTTGATTTTTAATCTCAAAGCCTGCTGCCAGTGACTCACTTTCTACAGCAAAGCTGTACCACGAAACCCCTCAAACAGAGCCACCCACCAGTGACCAAGTGTTCGAATACCTGAGACTATGGGGAACATTTCTTATTCAAAACACCATAATACCATAATTCTCAAACTAGGCACTAAACCCTGGAGCCTTCCTAAAGATCTGCTGCCTTTACAGTGGACGGCCAAAGACTGAATCTTCTGAGTCACAAGCGGCTCAAGGTTTGTCTGTTAGAATCCTGAATGCAGCTAGAAGGAAGAGCTTTAAAGTAAGACTTTACCATTTTAAAAATTTTTAATTTTTTTCCCTGTTTTTCACTTTTCCTTTATTGAAAATAGATTCTTTTCTTATATAATACATCCTGATTATAGTTTCCCTTCCTTGTTCATTCTTACCTCTCCTCCTCTCCAGATCCACTCCCTTTCTGTCTCTCCTTAGAAAAAGAACAGGCATTTAAGAGATAACAACCAAATATGACAAAATGAAATATAAGAAGATAAATTAAAAATAATATCAAAGTCAGAGAAGTCAACTCAAGAGAAAGAAAAAGGCCATGGGAGGAGGGAGAGGCTGGAGGGGCAGGATGAGGGAAGAGGGGAATCTTTGATATGTAAAATGAATAAAAAAAATTTTCTTAATGAAGAAAACTTGTATCAGCAGAAAAAAAAAAGAGCAGGCACAGGAGTCAGAGATCAACTTGCTCTCACTCTCAGGATTCCTATAAAAGTACTAATCTAAAAGCTATAATATATATGCAGAGGACCTGGTGCAGACTCCTGTCAGGCCTGTGGTTGCTGTTTTAGTTTCTGTGAGCTCATATATGCCTTGCTCAGGTGATTCAGAGGGCCTTGTTCTGGAATCGTCCGTCCCTTCTAGCTCGTACACTCTTTCTGCCTCCTCTTCCACAGGGTTCCCTGAGTTCTGAGGGGTGGGATTTTATGGGGACATCCTATTTAGACTCCCTCTCCTCATAATGTCTGGTTGTGGGTCTCTGTATTTGTACCCATCTGCTGCGGGAGGAAGCTTCTCTGATGATGACTGAATACAGCACTCATCTTAGGTCTCTGGGCTATCTAGTCTCTGGTTCTTGGTCATCCAAGAAATGTTGAGTATGGGTTCCATCTTGTGGGGTGGGCTTTAAGTCAAATTAGATGTTGGTAGGATACTCCTACAAGTTCTGTGCCACTATTACCCGAGCATATTATGCAAACAGGACCAATTGTAGGTCAAAGATTTTGTGGCTGGGTTGGTGTTTACATTTCCCTTTTGGTAGCCTGCATGTAGAATACCTCCTGGCACCAAAGACACTAATAGCCCCTTTATAATAAAAGTCCTGGAGAGATTAGGGACATATCTAAACTTAATAAAGGCAGTCTACAGCAAGCAGCAGCCTATAGAATGGGAAAAGATTTTTACCAATTCTACACCTGATAGAGGACTGAAATGTTAAAATTTTAGACCATGAAAATCAATGATGATATCAAAGATCCTAATACACCACTTATCCTGGAAATATTGATTTTCTCAGGTAGTATCTCTAAGTGGGGAGAGTTTCTAACCTCACATTTACTGCTGTGCATCCTTTCTCCCTGCCTCCCAAATAGTGGATATAAATCAACTTAGACAGTGATTCTTAAGAGAAAAAGTAAAGCATCTCTTCACCTATGATAGCTTTTCTTCAATGGGCCTTGAGGATTTACTGTCATTATTTTTATTTGGATCAGTAAGCCCAATAATGACTAGATATGTTCTTCTGTTTTTTTTCCTTGGATCATACGCATTAGGAGGGCAGATACTAAGTTTGTGGTTTCTCAGTATACATCTGGTGACAGACACACAGCTATGCCCACGGAAGAGTGAAGGAATGATGCTTAAATATGAGTGAGCTGAGTTAAGAAACAACAACAGACTAAAGAGAGTTTAGAAACAGGAGCTGTTAACAAAGGACAGCGGCATGTTCCCCAGCTAAGGCAGCCATCTTGCTGTTCCTGCTGCCTCTCCCTGGAGGTCCCTCATTTGTCGTTTCCCCAGATGACTAGTCTGGGCAGCCAACATTCACTGAGCAGCAGCTAATTCTGGGCCTGTGCATGGACTTGGAATAATCTAGAGCAGCGCCCTTCTGGTTGAGGAGCTCTCAGACAAATTTCTAGTTGTCGTCTGAACAGATATGAACTGTCACAAATAACAAGTTTGAATTACAGCTTTAGGTAGGATTCCTGTCCTTGACTAATTTTCATAAATCATAATTTGTGTTTGAGTAATGGATATTTTCACTACCCACAGGGTTGCAGATAAATCATCCTTTGTTTACATGTCTAGTTTGCTTTCAGCCAATCATGAGAATTTTACAAATCACACCTTTTTGGATGCCTTTCTATTTTATGAACCAATAAATATTTACAGTAACCTATGTTTCTCTGCCTTGTCATACAGTAAACAAGCCTGTGACAGAATGTCTCTGCATCTGACATTGCTAAAGTCATTACTTGCCACTTTTCTAACTCCTTTGTGTTCCTCTAGTCAATGTAGTATGTGTATATATATATATATAAATTCACAGTTAGAAATGTCTGTGGATATTTTTGAATTTTTTTTTAGATTAATGCGTGTGTGTGTGTGTGTGTGTGTGTGTGTGTGTGTGTGTGTGTGTGTGTCAGTTTATACACAGATGCACATTGCCCGTGGATGCTCACGGAGGACAGAAGAGGGTATCCTATATTCTCCTCTGTTATTTGTTGCCTTTTACTTACAGACAGGGTTCTCTCCCTGAACCTGGGGCTAAGACTTTCGTTGCTAGGCTAGAAGCCAGCAGGCTGCAGTAATCCTCCTATGGCCCCCTCTTTGCCTGCCTGGGAGCTAGGGTTAAAGGCATTTGCAAGGATGCCTGGCTTGTGATTGCTGCGGTGCTGGCATCTGAACTCAAGTCCTCATGCTTGTAGAGCAATGGGTCTTAATCACAGAGCTGTCTCTCCAGCCGTGCCGAACTCCCCCCTCCCCCCGTTGGCCATTTTCCTCTTACACATACTGCATGTCCTCTGATGCATGTGTCAACCAGGTAAGTGCCAAGGAAAACATGGCTTCCATACTGTTTAACTGAATAGCACTGAGGCTTATCTTAATCAATAATAAAAAGCATGCTAAGATTCATTAGAAATATTGCATTTCATTGCTTTGTTAAAAGAAGTAAACTGATTGTGAATACAAATTCATACATCTCAATATGGCTGGGAACAGTTGCAAGTTGAGAACAACCAAGAAGTCACACAGAGAAGCAAAAAGATTCATTAGTTTTTTTTTTTTTATTTTCTGTACTATAAAAAAAATCAATGAGAAATTTAAATGGAAACCTGTGAGTTAGGAAGATGTAAGCTAGGTGTGTTTTGACTAAATGGGAATCCTGTAATTATGAACTTGGGAGGGACTCACAAACACTCAAGTGCAGAAAAGTCTCCTAAGTATTCCCTGGAGCTGGAGGCTCGGCTGCCTTTGCTTTTTGAGCTGTGGTTTTCTCACAATCCTCCTTCTATCCTCTGGCAAGTGTGTGGCACAATTCCAGTTCCGTAGAGATGCTTCCAGAGCCCCAGTTCCTAGGGGACAGTCAGTACCGAGGAGCTCCAAAAACAGAGAAATCTCTATGGACTAGAAGAGGGTGGTCAAAAATTTTGTGAAAGAGGGAACTCTTGACCGGCATTTGAGTGGGCTGCATTTGAATGGCAAGATACAGATTTCAAGTGTGCTTTTGTTTTCAGATTTTTGGAAAAAAACAAGCAGAAAAAGCCCACAAGGAAGAGGAGAGCTAAAGTTAGATACATTTTTTTTTTTGATCTGAAGAAATTCTAAGTTTGTGAACTCTAAAAAGGCCCCAAATAGAGTGAGGCATCACTCTGTGTAACAACATGTCTCATATGTACCCATGTTTTCCTATTGTGCTCATGGGGCCACTGAGATGTTAATGCTCAAAAAAGGAGTTCTGTGAGCCAAATGCTCAGGAGCCTCCTTCCTGAGTTAAACAAGATTGAACAGTTTCTTTTGCACCTTCTCAGCATCATTGTGAGCGTGCACTGACAGACAGGGGTATACCTTAGAAGTTTTTCACATAGAACCATCAATTTTGAGCCTAAAATGGGAATTCAGTAGACCAATGTTGACTGATCAAGAGCTTATTTACTTATAGAATACAAAAGTACTTAAAGATTAATGTGAATTTAGATCTGTCTGAACAATAGGCAAGGCTGTGTGCTGGATTTATACCATATTAAAGCTAA